GAGGCTTGGCTGATGTTTGAGAAGCACTTGGAGGACCTGGCTAGGGAGTGCTGCATTTACTGCACAGGCCTGTGAGTTGTGCTTTTGTGTCAGTGGGCAGAATGGGATCCTGACATGCTGATTGTGTAGGCATGCCTCAGCCCAGAATGCTGCAGCTTTTCACTCTTAGGACTGCTTTAATTTTTGGTGCTAGAAGGAGTGGGTAATTTACCCTGCTGCATCTGAGAGTGCAGTGTATGTCATGTCATACCTGCTGCATCCTTCAGGGACAGATCCCCTCTTTTTTTCCTTAAAAGTAGGAGATTGCTAAACAACATGATGCAATAGACAAGACCCAAATAGAAGCAGCCTAAAATTTGTTCCTGTTGGGAACCTGAATTGTATTTTGTCAAGATCCTTGAAGGCACTAAGTAACAAGCCACCATTCACTGAGGACCTAAGCAAGATCAGTCCACTGACTCAGGGCTCTGAATTTTCGGTTTGATTTTAAAGCGTTCCTTGCCCTGGTGCCTGGCTTGGTTGTTACAGCTTTGTGTCAGCATGTAGTTTTGCTCATATCCTTTTGTGGGCTTCACCTCTGTGGTGCAGGCAGGCTTGGTGGGGACATTTCCTCTCTCACCTTGACTATTTGGGCTCCTGCCCAGTTAGGAGTTGACCTCAACCAGAGGGTTGAGGCTGGGCCAGCCACGAAAGAATGACAGACGCTCTCTATTAACCCCTCTACCCTCCCAGAAGGGGAAGGGAGAGAGAATAAGGGAGAGAGACTTATGGGTTGGAAAGGAAAACTAGAATAGCTTTAATGAAACAGTAACAATAAAAGATAGTAACAATAATATAATGAAATATACACAAACAGATATCAAACCAACACCGAACCCAGCTCCCCCCACCCTGATGACGGTACGTCACTACCACACTGCAGGGCTGGCACTGGGGCAATCCCAGGCTGGCCTGGGCAGCAGACAGAGATGAGATGCAGGGGCTGGACTCAGGCACTGGATTCAGGGATGCACGGGTCGGGATGGACGACAGGAGAACAAACAGAGTCCTCCTCAGATGTCGGCCATCGAAGAAGAGAGATTGACCCTCATGATCCCTCAGCTCTATACTGAATATGACGTGTATGGGATGGACCACTCTGTGGGTCAGGTTTGGGTCCCCTGTCCGGTTCGCTCCTCCCTGCAGGTGCGACTGTTTTCATGCTTGAGACCCTTTTCACTCCCAGCACCCCAACATGCAGTACAAGATTTAGCAGTGACCTTGGTCACTGTAAGAACAAGTACAAGCAAGGGCCTCTCTGCATCCCATTCCTTGGTACAGACTATGAACATCAGGCCTGATCGCTGCTGGGAGCAGTCACTGTCTGGGAAAACACGCTTTTGCTTTCAGAAAGTGCCATTACTTGAAGAGGCTTAACTGAAAAGTCAAATCACTGAAACAGAATTAGTTCTGTTTTAGCCCAAACCAGGACATTCCACCCCTTATTCCATACCATTTACGTCATACTCATCACTAGCTTATGATTTGTCTTTTTACCTAGAAGTTCATTAAGTTTATGTAGTTCATGATTATTGGTTTCCGTCTTTCACAGCAGTCTCTCAGAGCAGGAAAGATGGCATGAAATCTGTTGTGGTTCATGCTCACATGTTGTAAGTCCACCTCGAGGAAGTTGTTGGACGTCACTCGATGAGGCTAGCTCTGGTTATCCTGAAAGACACTTACTGAACACTGTTAGTATTACGTAGCAGGTCAGAAGTAAGTGTTCTCACCCAGAGTTAAATTCCCTTGAGGTACACATTGGACTTCACCATCCTTCATCGTTACCCACCAAGTATGACCAGGTGCTTGAGCAAAAGCAACCCCACGAATGGGTTTGCCTTTGCTCGAAGCAGGAAATACCCACACAGCTTTTTTCAACAAATTCCTTTCACACACCATGGGGACTCTGTCCCCTTCGGTTGTATGTAAAAGGTCAGATTGGGCAGGTCTGGCTCAATTGATAGATCCTCTGGTTTTAACTAACCAGGTGGCTTGTGCTAGATGTGTGTCCCAGTTTGAAGAGTTGCACCACACATTGCTTTCAGCGTAGCTTTTAGTAGCCCATTGTATCGTTCAATCTTTCTGGAGGCTGGTGGGTGATAGGGATATGTGATATACCCACTCGATACCACGTGCCCTAGCCCAGTTGTCTATAAGATTGTTTTTGAAATGACTCCCATTATCTGACTCAATTCTTTCTGGAGTGCCGTCTCGCCACAAGATTTGTATTTCGAGGCCCAGGACGGTGTTCTGGGCAGGGGCATGAGGTACAGGACATGCTTCCAGCCAGCCGGTGGTTGCTACTACCATTGTGAGCACATGACGCTTACCCTGGCGGGTTTGAGGCAATGTGATATAATCAATCTGCCAGGCCTGTCCATACTTATACTTAGACCATCGTCCCCCATACCACAAAGCTTTTAACCGTTTATGCTTGATTGCGGCGCATGTTTCACAGTCGTGGGTAACCTGCGCAATAGCGTCCATCGATAAATCTACCCCTCGGTCATGAGCCCACTTGTACATTGCATCTCTTCCCTGATGTCCTGAAGTGTCATGAGCCCACCGAGCTAGAAATAGTTCACCCTTATGTTCCCAGTCTAGGTCTGTTTGGAACAGTTTCACAGCCTGATCCGCTCGCTGGTTGTTTCGATGCTCCTCAATGACCCGACTTTTAGGTGCATGAGCACCTATGTGACATCCCTTGACAACTAGTTTCTCCAGCCTGGCAGCAATGTCTTGCCACAGTGCAGCAGCCCAAATTGATTTACTTCTGCGCTGCCAATTGTTCTGCTTCCACTGTTTCAGCCAACCCCACAAGGCATTAGCTACCATCTATGAGTCATGGTGAAGACAGAGTACTGGCCACTTTTCCCATTCAGCAATGTCCAGGGCCAACTGGGTGGCTTTTACCTCAGCAGACTGACTCGATTCACCTTCTCCCTCCACTGCTTCTGCGACTCATCATGTGGGATTCCACACAGCAGCCTTCCACTTCCAATGATTCCCTACAAGACAGCAAGATCCATCAGTGAACAAAGCATATTACTTTTCATTATCTGGCAACTGATTATATGGTGGGGCTTCTACAGCATGCGTTACCCCTTCTTCTGGTGGCCCTATAAAGTCTTTACCTTCCGGCCAATCCGTAATGACTTCTAAGATTCCTGGATGATTGGGGTT